CCAGATGACTTCTGCAATGTAGGACATGTTCTCAGTCAACTGCAACTCCTTGCTAAGACGGCGGGTTCGCGTCCGATTTCTGTAGCAATCTGAGTGCATTGACTTTTATCTACTGGCTATATCATAGAGGCCTTTTGCGGAAGCTGCGGAATTTTTCTAGTTAATGCTGGATGAGAGTTTCTGGGATAAGCAACTCAGGTTACGTTTACGGGTGTAAGTCACTTGTGATCGCTCGGTAACGGTACTAACCGAAGTAGACGGTATGAGAATGGTAGTAGGGCATAGGTAAAAGGGATGGATAGTGGGTTCCGGGCAATATGGGCAAGACATTAGGCAGTGGGGGATGTAAGAGCAGTTAGTCGAACTGTTGGACTGTAGGCGGGGAGGATGTAGGAAGACAACATCATAGAATGGCCAGGAACACTGGAAAAGATAAGGAGTCTTCAAGGAATTTACACAAGTTTGATTGGAATCCTTAGTTATAGGCTCAACAAGAAATTATGCCCGTAGGTAGAATGAACCCCTCACCCGCTTCCAACGAATGCGTTAAGGGACACTTCTCCGCTCAAAAAAAAAACCTCTAGAATCGTCCAACCCGCTACTCATAAATTCATCCATAGGCAAGATTTTGTACTCCTCCATCCCCACCTCTCCAGAGAGCTTCCTCGTTCAATTTGCTACAGTGTTGTTTGAGTCGGGTGTTAACACCTCCTCTTTCTCCCGGTTATCCCTGGACTGCTACCCTCCATCCAAGCCTAGTCGCTATCATTAAATGCGTAGGATCACCGGGGACTGGACCACACCGGCCCCTAGTTCCCTAGCGCACTGTAGGCCATGTGAGAAACCTATTAGGCCCACCTGCAAAAATCGGCCGTATACACCTAGACGGCTCCACATCCTGATCCCCCGATTCTTGGAAGTGGCCTGCCCAATGGTTAGCCGGAAAGTCGACGAGGCTATATTTCTGCGCATAATCATAGATCACATCCTAGATGTTCCAACTGCTGAGTGTTGTGAAGAAAGGTACGGGCAACAGCCCTGAAGGATGTCGTAGGTACGAGGGTAGACGGCGGTGTTGCTCGGCATGTACATATTATGTCCTTCGCTGTATATAGCAGGCTCATCCCTGAAGACCGATCAATCAATCCAATCGTTCATTCCATCTATCTCCTACCACATCCATCCAGCAACGACAGCATCCCTTGTCCGTGGGTTGTTCCCAAAACCTCCGAGTGATAGATAGGGGATATAGACATCAGTCAAGATAAAATCAACATCCCTGGAGCATGGAGTACACTACCACTTACCTTGATCGGGTGGTACTCCTTTAATCGCAACCTCCGTGACTGCTCTGTAAACTTGGAAGTTGTTGGAATCGATAATCCACACGAAAGCTGCGCAGAGATTTTCCCATCGTGTTTTGCAGGGGGCCATGGGAAAATTCGGGAGGCCCTTGATCCCACTATCCCGCTTGACTCGAGTAAAGAATTGATTTCCGGGGGGTGTGAGGGCACGAAACTGTTACCGGCATACAGTATCCAAGACTCGTCGGGTTCTGTCACGATCGTAGGCTATTAGGAAACCTGATGAAATATTCCGCTAGACTGCGGGGTGCTGTCGAGGCAAGCAATGTTAGTAAACTTCGCCCCGAGTCACCTTCATTCCCCTTTGAGACCCTGGTCCCTGGAAACAAAAGGAGTCTCCAGTCCGCTGAGGGGTTGAGGGGTCGGGCACCAAAATCCCTTAGGATTCTGGCAGACGAGTTCACGGCCCCGCATCCCAATTCCTAATGATCGAAGTAACATTAGTGTAATTGCGTTGACTTCCTCCTGCCCATCCAACAGGGCCATCATTGCCCGTGAGCTAAGTTTTCTCTCTCACTTTGGTTGTATGGGGGAACCTGCAAAAATGAATTGGAAAGTTGTATCGGGGGTTTGTGATCTAGCGGGATGGGTTAGGGATCAGAAAAATAGGGCAAAGGCGGGGTATGTGCTGTGTTGCAACACGAGATTAAGAGCCGCACAATAAGAAGGAGAGCCGCCAAACAGCAGCAGATGTTGCTAGAGTATCCCTCCAGATGTTTTCAGCGCTTGGACTACGGGCGTCACCGTTGCTCTCCTCGCCCCCCCTGTATGGTACTAGTACCTGGTCTGGCACAATAAGAACTTAATTTTTATGAAAAACATTTAGAATTTTCTGACTTTCCAAGGTTACGTTTTCCGACTTAGGGGTTGCAGTATTATTTGCTTGGCCGTGAGTGAAACCATGCTTTTGGCTGGTATGGAAAACATTGATGGTACGAGTATTCTACAGGGAGGGGTGGAACGCTCCAATATTCACAAGTGAGATGGCTTTTCGGCGACATGTGATTTGAAGCTTCAGCCACGTTGTGGGCGGGGATGGGGGGGGTTCAAGACATGGGAACAGCCAACCTTCTCCATTCTGTAAGGCAAAAATATGATTTAATTATAGCAACTTGGGGGGCAGTGTTGTTGGTACAGTTGTACTCGTACATGAAAATATTCAAAAAGATGGGTGAAAAGTTCTACTTGTGCTAGGACGGAAGGAGCCGGAGACTAAAGTCCAAAAAGCAGTTGAATTAAACACAATGCACCCAGATAGAATGGTCCTTTTTCGTTAGGCTGTGCGGCACTCCCTCAGGGCTGCCGTCAACTTCGACCGTCGCTTAGCGTCCTTCGGATAAATACCATAAATTCGTAGCTAAAACTAACTACAAGCCATATCCCAATCCGAGGGGTGAGAAGCTGGGCACGGTTACTTAAGCGACAGCAGCCCCCGTAACCTTTTGTCGCGGAGAATGGGATCGGGAACCCCAGGATGATTATCCTCACTGACCAGTGATTTCTACCGTCGAGGCCCGACGGCTCCACCGACCCATCGTTCAAATTTAGTGCTGGGGTCTGCGCATCCGTATTTCGCCTAGGGTATCATACTAACGGTATGTGGGATCCCGGAACGGAGGAACAGATCATGGGGTACTCGTGCACGTACATGTACAAGTACGTGTATCTCGTGTGAAACCTGGCTTCACGCTAAGGGGGTATGCCTACCTGCCCTTCACTACTCGTATGGACTGGAAGTACCAGTATGGAAGTGTCTCTGTTGCCTTCCGCAATTGGATGGTGCGACTGACGGAGCCGGCACCTGTGCAAAATGGCTGACCGTAGTCTACTCTTAGTAACGTGATATGCAATCGAATGAGAGGGCGGAATTATGCTGAGAAAGGTGACAGTAAAACACAGTAAAGACGATGGTTGAAAAAGGTCAAAAAAAAGTGCTCAAAAACAACAGAAAGAAAGGTGGTGCAGTTGGTTGTAGACTACTGGTGCAAGTGGGTTGTTGGTGCCGCTTTCTCTATCCCTGCAGGGATGGCGAGGCCATGCCCCCAGGCGAAAAACTTCCACCTGCTGAGCCTCTTTCCAATCAGAAGATTCTATGGGTAACACCCCAGAAAACATAACCAGAAAACCCTAAAACCTACTTCCTCCCACACTGGTACGGGTGCTACTCCCGTACTGCACTACCATAGTATGATAGTGCTGGCATGAAGGGGGGGCCAGCGATAAAAATCAACGAAGGCCTCGGGGCTCGAGTTTATGAACCCCTCCTTCAAGGGCCCAAGCCATTCTAAAAATCCGCAAAAGCGCACTACCGGGAGTCTGGTAGTACGATGCTTGTAAAATTGTGAGCGGTGGCACATCATCGATATGGTCAAGAAAAAACAAAAGTCGAAGTCAGAATATATCCCTCCGTTGCCCCCTGCATTGCTGCCCACGTTCACCGAGTGAATAGCTCTGAACTCATACAGAAAAAGATAAAAATAGAATAAGAATTAACGAGGGAATCAGCTCTAGAGAACCCTCCCCTTTCTCGTCAAGGCCTTCGTCACATTATTGGTTCCTCGAGTATCATGTCTCAGAGATCGGGCATTTGAGGGTCTCTACGAGTACGGTACTCTTGTACCGTACTCGAGTACATGTACTCGGTACAGTACTACGGTACTCTCGAGCACAAGTACCGGTACCACTACCCTTGTTGATCAGCTCGGTTAGCCTCAGCTGCAATATGGCTTTTTTTTTTTTGGAAAAGATAAATTTAAACCTTCAACCTACTTCTACGAGTAGTTGAAACCAGACACCGAGACATAGGGAGAAGGGCGTTGGTCCGGTCACACCCAAATGTGCGAAGGCCCCCTAGCCCCAGGGTCTATGTATGAGCACCGTACTCACACATCTTCACTAAGAGCACCGCCCTGAACAGGTACGGTATTTGACCAATGTCCACACGAAAATATTGGGCTTGAGGAGGCGTTCCCAGTAAGGACATACCGGTACCGGTACTCGAGCTTAACAGCCGGGAAGTTTTCGCCCCTGTCCGGGCTGTCCTACCTACCATATCCCTTGGTATCCAATACCGGTAGTCAATAACCACATGAGCACAGCACCGCACTGTGCCCGTGCTCGCCATAGTCCAAATCCTTATCAGAGCCCAACCAACTATTTCACCCAGACCTTCCCCAGCTGGAAATTCCTTGGGGCAAGGTTTCTTTACTTTTCACATATCATAATTATAATACCGGTACTCTATTTTCCTTCACCTTCTCCTACAGGCTTCTCATTTCTCCCCTATAAGTTCTAACATCCTTTCCTGCACCCTAACATACGTTCACATAGCATCAGGGCTCCAGTAACACCAACGAGGATCCCACTCCTCAATAAACCCGAAAGCAAGAAATTACAGTATTTGTCTTGTGGTTTAGGTTTCGGCACTCCGTCAAGCCTGCTCCGAGTTAGAGCCCGTTTCCAGGGTTGCTGAAAGGATACAGCTACAGGCTAGCCTACAGTAGCCTACTATCATACCTGATCTACAAGAACGGCTTCACCTTGAGCCATATTTCGGTAATAGACTTGATGGAGCAGTAGGCCACTCTTGCCTTCAGCGTCTCGATTTTCAGGAATGAGTACCATGAACCTAACAGCCTTGTTAACATTAACCAAGCTAGGTCTACCATCCACGGAAGCTATAGTGGGAATGAGGGTAGTCACAACGTTTTTGGTGGTAACAATACTATCAGAAACACATATGTGATGCCTGCTATGGCCAGTGTTCGAATTGGAAATCGAGGTGGTGTGTTTGGAGGTGAAGATGGAGGTATGATCAGTATTCCCCGAAGACCGCTGACAAGAAAGTAACCTGTTATTAGAACCAAAACAAGCATCACGGCCGTATCGCTTAATTCCCTACAGCAGGAACAGCACCTTTACCGGCCGGGAAAATCTCTTGGAATTGATCAAGATATTTTCAGAACCTACGGCACACAACCGAATTGCGCTCCATGGATTAGGTGGTTCTGGGTATGTATCAATTATTTCAACACATGAAGGATGCACTAACATCGCTTAGCAAAACCCAGATTGCCCTAGAATACGTTTATCGGTGCACCAGCGAGGGCGATCGTCATGCTTTCTGGGTACAGGGGAGTGGGTTATTAAAATTTAGCGAGGGATTTAGGGATGTTGCTCAGCTTGCCCAAATTCCTACAGCCAACGCGGTGAAAGACGAAGAGGGGTACCTAAAGAGCATAAAGAAGTGGTTTGAGGGCCCCAACAGCGGTGATTGGATCCTGGTTATCGACAACGCCGACAATGATGCCGAATTTGTTGGAAACAACGGTCCCATCGCCAAGTTCGTACCACAAGGCAGCAAAGGGACTGTGATATTCACCACTAGGTCTCGGTTGGTTGCATCCAGGCAGGGCTGTAAAATAGTTGAGGTGGGAGAAATGCACGAGGATGATGCCCTAAAGTTGTTTTCAAAACGCTTTGATAGCGGAGGCAGTTTGGGAGACGAGGGGAAAATAGCTAGCGCAATGATCCTAGCCTCGGTGCACCACTTACCGCTGGCTATTGTGGGTGCAGCAGCCTTCATGAACGAGACCAAGACATCACCATCCATGTACTGGAGGATTCTTCGGGAGGGCGATGAACGTGCAAAGAAGCTACTTTCACAGCAATTTTACGAAAACCATCGAGAGGTTGATGTGACTGAGAGCATACTGGGCACCTACTTTATCACCTTTGATAGAATCACACAACAGATGCCACGAGCTGCGGATCTTCTATGGCTAATGGCATTCCTGGATCGTCAAAACATACCGGAGGAGCTATTGAACCAAAGCGGCTTGGAAGGGATGGATGATCCGGTTGATTTTCGTCAGGCCATTGGAAGGCTTTTAGCATTCGCACTAGTTGCCATTGCTACACACGAGGAGAAAACATTCTATGAGCTTCACGGTTTGGTCCAATTATCTTTACAGGTGTATCTACCAACCAAGGAGTCGAATCAAGGGAGAGCCGCCGCTCTAAGCGCGGTTTCCCGACTGTTTCCCCGAAATGAGAGCAAGTGGCGATCTGCCACCCCCGTATACATTCCGCATGCACTTGCAGTAACTAGAGATTCCAGGGATCCGCTTGCTAAAGAACTTTGTTTTCATATGGGGCGCTACTTTCTAGATAATGGCTCCTGCAACGATGCGGAAGTCCAATTTCGCCGTTGTATTGCACTTCAAGGGGATGGTAAAGATGATAGCCAGGGTGATGAGGGCCAAAGGGAATCTACGTCCTTGGGAGTAGCATGTCGACGGAAGGTCAATGTGGCGGCAAAGATATTTTGCAGCATACTAGATGGTTTTAGGAGGTACTCGCGTTCAAACAGTCTTGATATGCTAATGTACGTAAGCTACTTGGCTCTCACGCTGCAAGACCAGGGAAAGTATGATGAATCCGAGACGATGCATCGGCGGACGCTAGAGGAGAGGAAGAAGATTCTCGGACCAGACCACCCCATCACCCTAAATAGCGCCAGAAACCTTGCTACTGTGCTGAAAGCCCAAGGAATGTTTGAGGAATCAGAGACGATGCATCGCGATACACTGAATGGGTATGAAAAGGCCCTTGGACCAGATCATCCCGACACTCTAAGTTGTACCAACGATCTGGCTCTCGTGCTACAGGGTCAAGGAAAGTACGAAGAATCAGAGACGATGCACCGGCGCACACTGGAGAAACAGGCGGATATTCTAGGACCAGACCACCCCATCATCCTAATGAGTACCAACAACCTCGGTGTAGTGCTGAAGCACCAAGGAAAGTACGAGGAATCAGAGGGGATGCATCGCCATACACTGGA